CCCCCCCCCCCCCCCCAGAAGCCTTATTTCTTCCCCATACCGGGCATGTTTGTCACCACCATTTCCTTATAAAGTCAATATTTTCTTTTTCTTTAAGGGTCGTTTTCTGAAAACGCGATTTTTTTTCTATACTAAAAAAAAAAACAACTCCATCATTTTCCATCCAATCTTCATGAAATTTTCACGTTTGTTGAATATTTGGTATATGGAATAGATTTTTGTTGGTGGTGTCTGGAGTGTGGATTTCACGGATTCTTTTGCAAACTTGAATACTACCTCCGGAAAAAAATCATTAAAAATTTTCTAAGTCGTTTAGGAAAAAGATCAACAGACAAATTTTTAGATCTATTGTTTGCTATCACGCATGAAAAAAACCCAACAACAAACCCAATCAATTTATATTAAAAATAAGTGCGGTATTCATTACGTAAGACATGTCAACAAAATCCAATATGGCCGCCGTATCAAAGGAAAAGAAACCGTTTTCTCAAATTTGAATGCAGGTTTTAAGATTCCTTACTGTGCTTGTTATATGTGTGAAATTTGGTAAATGAAGTCCACTAATAAGCTAGATAGCCTTCAGGTGTAGCCCCCCCCCCCCCTTGAAAGAATATCTCCCACTTTGTAGTGAGATCTGTATCCCTCTCAGTTCTGATTGGCCTTGGCCGACAGGGTTCCAGCTGACCGTCTCCGATATCGACAGGAAAGTACAGGATATGGAATGCACAAAATCCAAGAATGATAATAATATTGTATCGACCAAATGCGAGTAAAGACTTTAGGAATAGCTGTATTAGCTGAAGAGTAGAATCAATGGCCTTTTTGCGTTAACCGGTGTCTTTCGTGACAATTTTACTCGGTGTCTTGAAGACTGAAATGGTTCGATCTGTATTGAATTAAAGGAATTAATGCCCCGGGCTGCAGTTATGTGCATACACAGGACACATTAATTGAGTTCACTTACGTTTAATGTGAAAGAGTGCCTGTATTGACACAGGTCTGACATCAATAGGACAATAAAGTGACGAGCATAGGTGTTGGATTTTTCAGCTTTTATCGCCCACCAAAAAAATACTCCACCGGTAACTTGAATCTTCCAGGGAATCTGCTGCACATTCATACGTTGACCCTGTGCTTTAAAAAAAATCAACTCACAGTATCATACTACGGTAAAACTTGAGTCAGAGCTATTCACTGTTTTCAACACTCACATCGATATGTCCTGTCATTACTCTTGTGTGACACAAAGGAGCGGAAATGTTTGACAGCTTCTCGAAGCTAATTCTTCACAGAAAGCCTCCCCCTCCCCCTCCCCCGCTCCCCTTGCGAGACACCTCTCATCGATTCACTTTTTAGGGTGTGTGTGCGATGTTGTTCACTGCATAATGTATTTCATATCCAACAACCTCACAATTTCACACAAACACTGGGACTGACCGATATTTATTGTGCATTTTTTTTCGTCGTCTTGTCAACTCGAGGTGTGTGTGTGTGTGTGTGTGTGTGTGTGTGTGTGTGTGTGCGTGTGTGCGTGTGTGTGCGCGCGCAC